TCACTGAAGCAAGCAAGCCTCCTGTTCGCTTCAAGCTGCCTGGCTGCCGGCCGCCATCTTGGCTGGCAGTTAATTTGCATATCGCCCTGATTACCCAATGGGAAGGGTAGCGGAGTGACACCAATTTGCATGTTTCTCTTTTATTAGTGTAAATAATTTGATTCTATAATAAACAAAAGAGCACTTAGAATAACCAAACAACTCTGAAAAAGAATGACAATGAAGGACTATTTATTCTATTTGTCTTATTGCCTTATATTGAATTTAGTATAGTATAAATTTAGTTTATAGTTAAATTAATCAATACAGTGTGGCATTTGTATAGGATAAATATGCAAGTAGATCAATATAATGAAACTAGTGGCTTGGCGCATGAAATTCATGCACAGGTAGGGTCCCTAGGTATGGCCTGCAATCAGGGCCAATCTTCTCCAGCTGCCAGGTCCACCTCCCCCACCCTCTCCCACCCCCCACTGCTGCTGCTGCTGCTGCTGGTCACCCTCTGTGTGTGGGACAATTGGCAGGGCAATCAGCCCACATCCACCACCACCCACCCCTGGTTCCCAGTTCCCCATTGGGCGATTGGATCCTACGGGCTGGGGGGAAGGACCAAGAGGTTAGCTGTTCCTGCCTGTTAGCTAACCCCTCCCCCCGCCACCTCTGTGTGTGGGGTGACTAATAGGGCAATCAGGGCCCAGGTGCCTCCTGTGTCTGCCACCACCCACCCCTGGTTCCCGGTTCTCCATCGAGCGATCTGGGTCTGTGGGCTGAGGGCAGCTCCTGCATTGAGCATTTGCCCCCTGGTGGTCAGTGGACATCATAGTTGGCCAGTCATTCCACTGTCCAGTCAATTTGCATATTATGCTTTTATATAGATAGATAGATAGATAGATAGATAGATAGATAGATAGGCTATAAATTTATCCATTAATATAAGGTTAATTAATTTTTCAAAAAAAGTACAAAGGTAATTTAATGTGTAAGGAAAGTCATTTCAAAACATTGTACTATTACAACTGGATACCAACATAAGCCCAAACAACTTAAAAAATCTCAAGTTTGTTAAAAATTGATATGGAATAAATCTAAAGAAAGAAGCTGAAAGTATAAATCTTCTTGAAAGAAACAGAAAAAATTTTATATGATCTTGGGATATAAAATAATTTCATAGATAAAATATAAAAATATATATCAATGCAATAATAGAAAATTTGGACTTTACTAAAATTTCCTTAAATATACATTATTTCTTACTAAAAATAGAAATTGAGAAAAACTCACTTATACAAAGATCACACTTTCATTCTTTTCATCTATATTACCAAAGAGTTCTAAACAGAGTACATGGATGGAAGATGCTCAATCAAAAGCAAGGGATAGAACTATTATTGTCAGAATTAGAAGTCTCCTTGGGCACTGAAACTGTCAACTTATCTACTTCATTAAAATATTAATTATAAAACTATTAAGTAGCTAAAAGTTTATTCTAATAGTTATATTGAAAAACAAACATGTCTTTGCTATATTCCTCATAATTACTTTTAAATCACTGTTTTCTTTCCTAGAAAGACTTTATGTTGAGAATGTTTATCCTTCGAAACCTATGAGATGGCCATTTTTCCTACTCATTCCTTTTTGTGTTATTCTCAGTATAATGATAATAACCCTGGTAAAAGTTTATTTACAAAGAAAGAAATGGAAAACTGAGGACTATACAAGCGATGAGTATATTGATTTTATATCTAAGATTTATTACTTTTATAACTTATTAATATTCATAGTAACTTATTCATAAATAACATTATGATAATGTTACAAGTAATAATTCATATTTAATTTTATCTTTATATGGAAATTTAATACTTCCTAATATATTAAGGATTAATATAATGAATAATGAACATAATTTTTTAAATGTCAAAAATTTTAATCTTATAACAACTTGGACTCTGTTAGGGGTAAAATTAAGTCAAAATTACTTCTAGTTAATGTTTGTTTACCTCTTTTTATTATTTCGTCTTAATTATTAACTATGTATTGAACATTATTACTTTATTTTTGATATTTATATATTTCAAGGAATTTTGCATACACTATTTTATTAAAAAGTAGCAGAGAAATCTAGGAGAGTAGTTATTGAAATACGTCAGTCAGAGAAAGATGAATACCATATAAATTTCACCAATATGTGATATCTAAAGAACAAAATAAGTAAATAATCAAAATTGAAAGAGACTCATAAAGAGAACAGACTGATGGTTGCCAGAGGGATAGAGGTTGGGGGCTAGGTGAAAAAGGTGAAAAGATTAAGAAGTACAATTGGTAGATACAAAATAGTCATGGGAATGTAAAGTAAAGCATGGGGAAAATAGCCAATAATATTGTAATAACTATGTATGTAGGGTGCCAGGTGGGTACTGGGAATATTGTGGGAGCACTGTAAAATATATGATTGTCTAACTGCTAGGCTGTATACCTGAAACTAATACAAAATAATATTGAAAGTAAGCTGCAATTGAAAAAAAATTAAATAAATAAATAAAAGAAACAGGGCAGAAGATAAATGTCAAAAAAATTTAAAGTTATTTAGCTAATAGTGTTATAAATGTAAAAATTATCTAAGTTCATTTTCAGGTAAACTTATATTACTGTGCTTTTTTTCTCATGTTAGTCTTAATTACCAGTGAGAGATTATTTCAGTGATAAAGTAGTCTCAGATCTCAGAAAGGAATTCAAAACTGTTTCAGTACAGACAGATAGTGCAGAGTTTTGTACTGTAATTTTCAAAGAAAATATAATTTTATGTGATTATATTTGTTTTTAACTGTATAGGGAACTTGAAAGTGAGAGTGAATCCAAGAGTAGCCTGGAAAACAGAGACTCCATAATATCATAGTGAGTATAAAATATTTTAAGGATGAGATGAAGAGACAGAGAAAATTTAATGTATTAGATAAATGTAAATAATACAAATATATATTAAATGGTGGTAGTCATATCGATGCATATAATGACAAATTGGAGAATATTTTTCAATGGTGTAGGCTTCATCACGGATTAGTAAGCATAAATGGTATTCAATTCATCATTTAAAATTTCTTGCAGTGTTATCTTTTAACATTTTTAAATGATTTAATGCTTTAGCATTTATGTATTCAAATATTGGTTAAAATAAATTACATTATAGAACTCTATAATGAGGTTACCCTTATACTATTTGTTGAATTAACCATAATTTTTAATTTTATTGGACATACAGGTGACTTTTCCCCTTTATTTTTTCAGAGCAATTATCTTTGATGAACAGGAAAAATGGAAAAGAAAAAGTACATGTATTTTCTGATTGCCTCAGATTCAAAACCTGCATACTACTGTTTTGACCTGAGAAGAAAAAATAGAATTCTCATATGTAATTTATGTTATATTGTATTGTTTATATATCATATAGCATTTATATATTTAATTCTACAGATGAGTTTTTAGAATACACATTTAAAAAGTTATCTAATGCTAATTCTGTTAGTCAGTAGAAACTAACTTAATTAACAGGCATGAAATGAGGAAAGGTTACAATATAATAAATGCAATGCCATAATTAAAGGCCACTGCTATATTTTTTACTGCAGAGTTATGCAGTTATGTTGTTATGTTGTTATGATGGTCCATAGCCAGTCAAAAGAAAACTTGATATAATTTAACATTGAAAGATTTAGTAGACATGAAGAAGAATATATTATAATGTAAATCAAATCATCAACCTAAGAGAAAGCTACCATAATATATATGCATTAGTTAGGGTTCTCCAAAGAAATAGAACCAGTAGATAATTATAGATAGATGATGACAGATGGATAGATTAGATAGATAGATGATAAATAAGCGATATATAGTTGAGGATATCTATTATAAGAATTGATCCATATGGTTATGGAGGCCAAGAAGTCCTATGATCTGTTATCTATAAGCTGGAGATCAAGGAAAGCTGGTGATGTAATTCAGTACAAGTCTAAAGTCCTGACAATTGGGGAACCTCTGCTGTAAATCTCAATCTGAGTCCAAAAAAATAAGAACAGAGTGCCAATGGATGTCCAAAGGCAGGAAAAGATGGGTGCCTCAACTCAAGCAGAGAGCAAATTTACCTTTCTTCCACTTTTGCTATACTCGGGCTCTCAAGGGATTAAATGATTCCCACTTGCATTGATGAGGATAATCTTCACTCACTCAGTCTATTGATTCAGATACTAATCTCTCCCAAAGACACTCAAAGACACACCCAGAAATACTGTTTTATCAGATAACTGGGCATCCACAAGTTGACACACAAAATTAATCATCACAAATACACCCCTTGTCAACTTGGCACTCATATGCGTCTCCTTAAACCATACTTAATCTCCAAATAAAGTACATAACATAACTCTGCCTAACATGATATAACTCTCCTGCATGCAACCAAAATTGCACTAATTTCTTCCCCAGAAGAGGAGATAAAATCCTTGAATGATGTTTACTCTTCTCCAGATATGGCATAACTTAAATACTATGATGTAATATTAACAATATTTAAATACTAATGTATGAGGCAGCTCTGCCTCTGTATCTATTATTGTTCAAAAGTTTATAATGGTCTCTATTATCCATGAATGAGTGAGATCATGTGGTATTTTTCCTTCATTGACTGGCTTATTTCACTTAGCATAATGCTCTCCAGCTCCATCCATGCCGTTGCAAATTGTAAGAGTTCCTTCTTTTTTACAGCAGCATAGTATTCCATCGTGTAGATGTACCACAGTTTTCTAATCCATTCATCTACTGATGGGCACTTAGGCTGTTTCCAAATCTTAGCTATGGTGAATTGTGCTGCTATGAACATAGGGGTGCATATATCCTTTCTGATTGGTGTTTCTGGTTTCTTGGGATATATTCCTAGAAGTGGGATCACAGGGTCAAATGGGAGTTCCATTTCCAGTTTTTTGAGGAAACTCCATACTGTCTTCCATAGTGGCTGCACCAGTCTGCATTCCCACCAGCAGTGCACAAGTGTTCCTTTTTCTCCACATCCTCTCCAGCACTTGTCGTTTGTTGATTTGTTGATGATAGCCAGTCTGACAGGTGTGAGATGGTACCTCATTGTTGTTTTGATTTGCATCTCTCAGATGATTAGCGACTTTGAGCATGTTTTCATATGTCTCTTGGCTTTCTGAATGTCCTCTTTTGAAAGGTGTCTATTTAGGTCCTTTGCCCATTTTTTGATTGGATTGTTTATCTTCCTTTTGTTAAGTTGTATGAGTTCCCTATAAATGTTGGAGATTAGGCCCTTATCAGATATAATGTTGGCAAATATGTTCTCCCATGTAGTGGGCTTTCTTGTTGTTTTGTTGATGGTTTCTTTTGCTGTGCAGAAACTTTTTATTTTGATGTAGTCCCATTTGTTCATTTTCTCTTTAGTTTCAACTGCCCTAGGAGCTGTATCAGTGAAGAAATTGCTTTGGCATATGTCTGAGATTTTGTTGCCTTTGGATTCTTCTAGAATTTTTATGGTTTCCTGTCGTACATTTAAGTCCTTTATCCATTTTGAGTTTATTCTTGTGTATGGTGTAAGTTGGTGGTCTACCCCCAGCACAAGCCCCCATTCCCCTACTGTCTGTGTCCATTGGTGATGCTTATATTCATGCATACAAGTCCTTTGGTTGATCTCTTACCCACCCTCCGTCTCTCTGTGGTTTGATGGTCTGTTCGATGCTTCTAAATGTCTCTGGATCTATTTTTGTTCCTCAGCTTACTAGTATGTTGTTCATTATATTCCACAAATGAGTGAGAAAACACTGCCCCTCCCACGATGAAAGTTGTCCAACATAATCAGCATGCCACCAGTTTAGCTCACTGACTATCCTGGGGAATGGTGTCATATCTAGAGTTCAATGGTGACAGATTAGGAAATCATCAGTGACTGTGGCCAGGTCAGGCTTGGAGTATAAAATTTCATGTTGCTGAGCCCATCTATAACCTCCACCCTTGCCATCATAACCACGTGAGCTCATTGGGTGACAGTAGGTGTTGTTATGGATAGAGGCTGACTAGTATCCACAGAATGAGTCTTCTTTTCCACCTATTAAAATCTTCCTCTGCTGAGGTCTCACCCTTTAGTGAGCATCCACATGTGACCCAAATATCTTCACATTTTTTGCCAACTCGTAGAGATCTAGCCACATACTTTCATTCCAAATTTGACACTTCCATTCATGTTTTTTTCCCAAGTTCCTGACCATTCAGCCAAACCACACTGTTATATAATCACATATCTGGCTATTTCTCTTATCAAGCAAAGTGCACTGAATTTCTTCCTTCTTGGGAGGATTTCACTTCACCACTATCCTTCAAGAATGTCTAAGAGAGGAGCTATAGTGCTGTAACTGTCTAGTTTTTAGGTGATGCCTGTATAAAATACAGAATCATCTGTAAACTAGGCCCAAATCGTCTCTGCCTTTGCCAACCAATGGTATGAAACCCCCTATGAAGCCATAAATGCAAGCTGGGATAGAGAAGGTGTTGTAGCAGTAATAGAGACCATGGTATTTGGGCCACTTCTTCATATAACTTACCTGTGCCTTCAGGTACCACTTGGTTCTGATTGCATATTTACCATTTATATTTCTAATTTAATGGCTTTGTGGACCAGAAAACACCCAGTTCATGATGAGCAGTTGAGATTGCATGATAACTTTGTGGCTCATGGTTAAATGTTCAGTCTCTACTGTGGTCCAGTAACAGCCAATGAACTGTTTCTGTAAAGAAAAGCAGTTATCTGCAATTTATTGCAGGACTTTTCTCCTAAATTTTAAAGGCCTACTCTGATATACCTATAGGATCTACCAAAATCTTCAAACATCATCCCTATCTGCCACTGATACTTAAAGACGATTGTATCTGCTGGATCATGTGGCCCAAGTGGCAGAACCGCTTGCAATCAAGCCTGGACCTTTTGCAGAAATATTTTTGTTTTATTCTCTAAAGTTTTACATATGTCTCCTTTTTCCACAATTGACCCCGCCCCCACCTACCCATTCCCACCCTGGGCAAGCCCCCACCACCCCATTGGTTATGCTAATACGCATGCATACAAGTCCTTTGGTTGCTCTCTAACCCTACCTCCTCTGCCATTTGTCTCTGGATCTATTCTTGTTCATCAAATTATGTTGATCATTATATCCCACACATGAGTGAGATCATGTGATATTTATCTTTCTCTGACTGGCTTATTTTGCTTAGCATAATGCTCTCCAGTTCCATCCTTGCTGCTGCAAATGATACTAGTAAAAGTTCCTTCTTTTTATAGCAGCATAGTATTCCATTGTGTAGATGTATCAGTTTTTGAATCCACACACCTGCTTATGGGCACTTAGGTTGTTTCCAAATCTTAGCTATTGTAAATTGTGCTGCTATGAACATAGGGGTGCATATATCCTTTCTGAATGGTGTTTCTGGCTTCTTGGGATATAGTCCTAGAAGTGGAATTACTGGGTCAAATGGGAGTTCCATTTTTAACTTTCTGAGGAAACTCCATACTGTCTTCCACAGTGGCTGCTCCAGTCTGCATTCCCACCAGCAGTGCAGGAGCGTTTCTTTTTCTCCACATCCTTGCCAGCACTTGTCATCTGTTGATTTTTGATGATAGCCATTCTGACAGGTGTGAGATGGTATCTCATTGTTGTTTTGATTTGCATCTCTCTTATAATTAGTGATTTGAGCATGTTTTCATATGCCTCTGGGCCTTCTCTATGTCCTCTATTGAAAAGTGTCTATTTAGAACCTTTGCCCATTTTTTGATTGGATCATTTATCTTCCTTTGGTTAAGTTGTATGAGTTCTCGGTAAATTTTGGAGATTAAACCCTTATCTGAAATATCATTGGAAAATATGTTCGCCCATGCAGTGGGCCTTCTTGTTGTTTTGTTGATGGTTTATTTTGCTGTGCAGAAGCTTTTTATTTGGATGTAGCCCCATTTGTTTATTTTCTCCTTAGTCTTCATTGCCCTAGTAGCTGAGTCAGTAAAGATATTGCTACGTCATATGTCTGCCTATAGAGTCTTGTAGGATGTTTATGGTTTCCAGTCTTACATTTAAGTCTTTTATCCATTTTGAGTTTGCTTTATTTAAGTCCTTTATCCATTTTGAGTTTGCTTTTGTGTATGGTGTAAGTTGGTGATCTACTTTCATATTTTTGCATGTATCTGACCAAATTTCCCAGCACCATTTATTGAAGAGACTGTCTTGATTCCATTGTATGCTCTTGCCCTCCTTTGTCAAATATTAATTGAGCATAATCTTTTGAGTCAGTTTCTGGGTTCTCTGTTTGTTCCATTGA